TTAAACTTCGCGCAACAGCCCTAGCGGCAGGAGCCTAAAGCTCAGTTTTGACTGAAAGAGGCGACGCGCCTATACCTACGTTTCATTGACCTCAGCCTTACCCAACCCATCACACAATCACACATAACTAGACCTAAGTTCTAAAATAAACTGTGCCCACCCCAATCCGCTCCCCCCATTCCCCACTAACCCATCCACTGATTCCAATCCAAACCCCCCACCACACCCCTAACCCTCGCCCGCCCTAGCCTGCCCTAAGCCTATAAATCCCGCCTAGCTAACCTGACTCTACCTTACATAACACAGCACACCACACACGGTGAAAAAAATTTCGTGCGTGGGACCGGAAGTTGAGGTCTTACGGATCTGTGAAGTTTCCGGACCACACATCCGAAAACTTGGGGTCCAGCAGCCTAAGTTCGGGTCAGACATCTGAAGTACCTCGGTATGCACCTCAGTGCTTCAAATGTGTGACCCGAACTTTTTGGCATCCGTATTCGAATCCGTGATCCGAAAACTTCAAAGATCCATAGGACCTCAACTTCGGATCCCACGCACAAAGTTTTCTTCTCCGTGCATCACATCACACCAGACTACACAACACTACACCACAACATAACCAAGTCAACCACGGGTGCCAATCCCAAGGTCACTGACCAAGGGTAAAAAGGGCACCTCCACGGTGCCCGCAACCATCCACCGGGGCTGACATGCGGCCGGGGCGGTGTCTGCGGATCGCTCCTCTAGCGCCTCCAGACGGTACACGACGTCCGCCGACCGGATGGACGACCGCGCGCCGGGCGCTCCGACGAGTGCTCGGTCGGACGACAGAGCCTCCAACTCAACTTCACTTTCAGACCGAGGCTAAAGGCCTCAGCCTGAAAGTGAAGCTGATACGGAGGCGCTGTCATCACGGTAGAGCAGTCGACGGAGCGTCCGGCGGGTGTCCACCCGCTCGTCGGACATCGACGTCGACGTTCGCCGACCGGATGGACGACCGCGCGCCGGGCGCTCCGACGAGTGCTCGGTCGGACGACAGAGCCTCCAACTCAACTTCACTTTCAGACCGAGGCTAAAGGCCTCAGCCTGAAAGTGAAGCTGATACGGAGGCGCTGTCATCACGGTAGAGCAGTCGACGGAGCGTCCGACGGGTGTCCACCCGTTCGTCGGACGTCGGACCGTAAGTGAGGCACTATGACCGAAACTGACGGCGGTCGTCGTCGTTGTGCGTCACGGCTGCGAAATGCACGTCGCGGCTGATACGGAACTTCCGGGACCTCTTTAGGGTGATTCGATGGACGCCATATTTTGTGTCAGAACGGCATGCGATATATCGCATCAACTGGTTCCATTTTTTCAGCTACTCGTCATTTTCCTCCAATTTTGAGATCTCAATTCTGATGTCAGGAGACTAAAGCACTCACTTACCAATTTCAACAAAGAAATTCAACGTAATAAAGGCGTGGTTTTTTTGGAGAGAAAACATCGCATTCGATACTGATATCGAAACAGCACTCGAATGCGATATTTTCTCTCTAAAAAAAAACCACGCCTTAATTACGTTGAATTTCTTTGTTGAAATTGGTAAGTGAATGCTTTAGTCTCCCGGCAACAGAATTGCGATCTCAAATTTGGAGGAAATTGACGAGTAGCTGAAAAAATGGAACCAATTGATGCGATATATCGCATGCCGTTCTGATACAAAATATGGCGTCCATCGAATCACCTAAAGCTCGGGTCAATTTCACAGTGTGGAGTCCGGTTTCCACGATCAAGTTAAGCCCATCACAATTAATCATCGGTGAAGATGTGGGCTTAAGGTGAATCCAGGGTTCGATTAGGGATAATTCAAGATAAGAGATAGCGCCACCAGTCACCACTGAGAATTTCACTTTCCTTCAACGATTACTGAAATAATATTGTTCAAATTACAAAAAGCAGATCCAAAATATATAGATTATTTTTTTGCTTGATTTTTTGAGCCAAAAATATTGGCAATTAGAATTACAAGCGCAGAGAAAGTACGGCTGAAACTTTCAGCTCACAATCAGCCGCGGCGGCCGAGCGCGCAACCGATTCCCTCATGTTCTGTCTCTCTCTCCCATTGCCGCAAAGGGGAATTACTCTTCGCCGTGGTTACGACTTTATTTTTGGGAATTTTGGGAAGATTTTTTTACTGAGTGTTCCTCAAGTATGATGCTATATCCCCTGGATCCCCAATCTTGAATAAGTGTTACGGTTTTTATTATTTTAGCAAATATATACGGCTATTCTGAGCAGCGCGACGTGGTGGCCAAATCGCGAAGTTCCAAGCCTGAATTAACCTTAAGCCCATCAAAATCGATCATCGGAGGAATTTTGGGCTTAATTTGATCGTAGAAACGGGGCTCCACACTGTGAGTTTGACCCGAGCACATAAGCTGATTGCACAAGTCCCAAATGGGGACCGGAAACGATGAGTCTGGCTCATCGTCTCGGCTCCCATTTGGGACGTGTGTAATCAGCCCTTCTAACCTCTGCACCCTCCCTTTAAAAGCCACTCACCCTCAAGATTTTCCTTAAGTTGATGCGCAAATGAAATACATTTTTAATTTGTACTTTTCATTCGAGTTACTAAAAATTAACTTTCAATAATGACTCAACTCATTAATTTTTCATTTGCTGAGGTATGAGTGGCCGAAGTTCTAAGGCACCTCTTCAAAATAAATACACACTTTTACTACTACTACTACTAATATTACTACTACTGCATGAAATATGTATAGAAAGAGAGAAGAAGAGTCAGTAATGACGTCATACGTCTTAGTGTCAGGCGTGCAAGTTTACATTACGTCGGTCAAATGTATGTTTTTGCTTCTGTTGATACTGTTTCCATACGGAGAGGTGCACATCAGGAGTACACAATTCTTTTAAATGCATTAGCTGAGGAAATTGCTTAAAATCTGTTTATTGGAAAAAAAAGTAAGGGGGAAAAGAATCGAAACATTTTTTTAAAATAGCATGACAGCCTGCAAAAAATAAGGTAGAAATTTAAATTAACGTGAAGGCTCAAAATTTGAAGTCATAAAGCTCGGGCAAAGATTTGCGTTAATTTTTTTATCGGGAGCTTCAATGGTCACTTTACCCGTTTTATGAATCAATGGTAACATTTCTGAACGATTTTATTCCCTTGAAGTAAGAATCATGAGGAAAGAGCATTAATATGATAAAAATAAAAACGAAATATTGAATGAGAGATCAAAGTGAGAGTCATAGCTACTTGAACTTTCGAAACGACATGAGATATTATAGTAGTCCGAGGGAGTAGGGGTACTAAGAGTGTTTGGAATCCCCTCTCTCCAATTCTCCATCAGAAATGTTTAATTATGAACTTCCCCCTTCCTATGAAAAATGTCTGGCTACTCCACCGGGTATGAAATAAATAACTATGACACAAGGACTTCTTTTTAAAAAAATCTCTACAACAGAGCTACAGAAAATAGTTTATTTTCCCAATATTTGGGTTACCTATCAATTACTACAGTCATGTCCGACAAGACGTATTAGGACACGAAAAAAGGGAGGCGCTTTCAGAATAGAGCGAAAAAGCTGAGTTTCAGGTGAAAAATTGCTTATCAGACCTCACGCACGACCAAATGACCTACCAACTAAAGATAATCAAAAGGGCGACACCTGATTATTATCAGAACGCGCAACCAATAGCGACTTAGCGACTTGCTTCATGCATCAAGAGAGAAAATACACCCTTTGATAAAGAAAAAATTAAATCTACAAAAGGACGCATCAAGGTAGATAGACCTAGAATATTGTAGTAAACTTGACATCTGAAAAGTGAAGGTCATTTTACCCACTCATATTTTTGAGAGAAAATTACCTCGGTTCCAAAAGCAAGTAATGACTGCCCTGATAAGGCTACTGCGAAATGGGACTACTCGAGAACCGAAGTGTTTCCTACCACGAAAAGATGCGAGGAAAAAAGGACCAAGATTCGGAGAGAGCACGATTACTGTCACTGGACGAAAAAATTGATTTTCTGCATTTTCCAAATAGCTCAGTGCGGTAATGGGCCAGCACCACCTCGTGAATGCAAGTTCTATGTTTTAGCGATCCAGAGTAAACTTTTCACCCCTATCCTACCGATAAGGATAGCAATAAACCTTTTTGATCCACATATTTTGATATCTGAATCCTAAAATGTTACTAAGTTGTTACAAGTACACAGGGAGGGATGTTATATTGTAGAATTAAAGCACTCCGATGTTAGTCAGGATCCAAACGCAACAAGAGCAGTTACGCATGACGAGAACAAGCACTGGAAAAAAACCACATTGGATCTTGAGTCCAGACTCTTAAAAACATCGACAAGAAAAAATACTCTTGATCCAATCAGATTTAAGCTTAAATCAAGAACCCAGCCTCTTAATTTGAGCGGATTTCCTTTTTGCTTTAAGCTTAAATCTGATTGAATCAAGAGTATTTTTTCTTGTCAATGTTTTCAAGAGTCTGGACTCAAGATCCAATGTTTTTTTTCCAGTGAGCCATGATTAATCCGTCAGCAATAAAAAAATACCATTTCTAATCGGTGTAGAAGTATATGAGGGAGAAAAACAAGAACTATAAATGTTCGAAAATAATTCCTAGATGCAACCAATAATTAAAATATGCTCTATTGTACAGTTATGAAGTGAGTCAGCTCTTGAGAACACTGCTTATTTCATATTTTTAACATCGTTAAAGTTTTATGTTTTTTAGACTCCTTGCGGTTTAGTGGTTAGTTTTTGCGCATTTTTAATCCAACCATTACGGTTCAATTACTATCACTGACTGTTTCGTCTCTGCCCGCACACAGTGCGGCGATTTCGGCCAGAAAATGAGAGCAATAACCGTAATAGAAATTACAGGGGTTTTTTTGCACTTCTCACAAGATTAGGGAAATAAAAGCAGTTTTCGCATGAGCTGATGTTACAATGGAAAACCTGCCTGACTCAGACGCCACGATCTTTTGGGTGGTTGTCTCAATGTGCCTGGAATGCTACCTCAATTTAGAAGAGAAAACCGATTCTAATCCGATTTATTTCGATGATTTATATCCTAAGGATATTTACTTACCTAATTATATGATTCAAACGCTAAGAATGTGGCCCAAATACTGTAAGTAACAGGATGGTGAAATAGAGCTGGGTTCACTTTATTTTACGGGTGAATCAAGGCCAATCAGCTGTAAAATCGTTAATACTTATTAATACTTTTACTATGGGCTTTACTTGTTAGAATTTTAGGTTAATTTCAAAATTTCATTTTCAAGTTGTGATTCAAATAGGTACATATGAATTACTGAATATAAGAAAATTTAAGTTTTTTCAACGAACCATATAAAAATAAAATTCTCCCGCCTTAGACTTGCGCGGATACTCAACAGACTTCATTCGGTGACTTGAGAGCTGACTTTTGAGATTTTTGGCCTTGATTTTCCCGCAGAGTAGCGTCTTACCTAATTACTCCCACTGACTGTTTCGTCTCTGCCCGCACACAGTGCGACGATTTCGGCCCGCCAATGAGAGTAATACCTGAGCTTAAGGTGAATCCAGGGTTCGATTAGGGATAATTCAAGATTAGAGATAGCGCCACCAGTCACCACTGAGAATTTCACTTTCCTTCGACGATTACTGAAATAATATTGTTCAATTTACAAAAAGCAGATCCACAAGATATAGATTATTTTTTTCTTGATTTTTTGAGCCAAAAATATTGGCAATTAGAATTACAAGCGCAGAGGAAGTACGGCTGAAACTTTCAGCTCAGCGGCGGCGGCCAAGCGCGCAACTGAATCCATCGTGTTCTGTCTCTCTCTCTCCCATTGCCGCAATGGGAATTACTTTCCGCCGTAGTTACGACTTTATTTTGGGGGATTTTGAGAAGATTTTTTTACTGAGTGCTCCTCAAGTATGTTGCTATATCTCCTGGATCCCGAATCTTGAATAAGTATTACGGTTTTTATTATTTTGGCAAATATATACGGCTATTCTGAGCAGCGCGACGTGGTGGCCAAATCGCGAAGTTCCAAGCCTGGATTCACCTTAAACATTTCATCTTTTAAAACGCGACAATTCGTACAGTTTAGAACCGGTCATTATTTAATAAATAACGCTAGAGGCAGCATCACAGAAACACCGAGGGTCTCCCAAAAGGGTGGGTCGAAGCAGGGGCGATGCGTAAATTATCTACTTACGACATTCTTCCATTTAAAACTATAGTGAAAATCGATTATTACGGTGTTCGTTCCGAACACCCTCATAGCCGATCCTTTACCATTTGTTTAAATGGCAGATTGATCGATTTATCGCAATGCCCGATACGCTATTCGCCACTGCAGGGTGAACGCCACCGGTTGGCGTAGCCGGGAAATTCTCCAAGGAGGAAGTGGAGTGGTGGGGCTGATGTAGATGCCTCACCCCCTAAACCTTACTCCCTATTCTGCCATGCTAAGGAAAAACGCCGTATGAGCCTTCAGGCGTTGCCAAATTTCCTTGGATAAAACGCAAATATCCTGGTAAACTTATGAAAATTTTCCTCCCAATTCTTCAGGTAATTTTGTTCGTAATTTCACCTAAAGATTCTGAAAATTTAAAGGAAAAATATTCATAACTTTCCTCAAAAGTAACCATTTTATCGAAGGAAATTTGGCAACACTCAAATGTTCATACGGCGTTCTTCCTTAGAACGGCAGTATTGTAAACTGACAAGCGAGGTTTTAGAAATACCGTGGTGTAGAGGTACGGTTAAGGAAGAATGTCCGATGTGTTGGCAACTTTGGTGATGATAAATTTCTCAACGGTGATCATTAATTCGCATACACCAGACTTAACAAATTGTACTTACAAAATTTAAAAATAGAAGAACATGTTACATTGCGGTGGATCTCTGATGCTTCGCAGATACGACCACACAACTGCAGATTAGAACCGACCGACCAGGATTGATTTTTTTTTTTTTTTTTTTTTTTTTTTTTTTTTTTTATAAAAATGTATGCTAATTTTGTCCATGTAAGGATAGCTTGTCTTAATTGATGGCTTAATGGCTAACATTAAAATGTTACCAACGTAAAATATTAAAAGTTCTCTCTCGACATACCTAAACGACAAAAATAGATGCATGGTCATTCGGCTCTATGCTACAGACTTCATTACAAACAAATAAACTTAAAACAAATGGACTGCATTTTGCAATTCGGAACTATAAATTCTAGCCCGGTTTAAAAACAACGTATGTGCCATTGGTTTCCCTATGCACAGAAACGTTTATCCAGAAGAGCCAGAATTTATAGTTCCAAATTGCAAAATGCAGTCGAAGTACATACATTCAGTGTATCTTTCTTTTTTCCCCAAGTTTTTTCTGGTTTTTTTTTTTGTTTTTTGTTTGGTTTTTTCTGATTTTTGTGTTTTCTTGTTTTTTTTTGTTTTTTGTTTCGTGTTTTTTGTTTGTTTTTTTTTTGTTTGTTTTTGTTTGTTTTTTTTGTTTTTTTTTTGTTTTTTTATTTGTTTTTTTTTGTTTTTTTTTTGTTTTTTTTGTTTTTTTTTGTTTTTTTTTTTTTTGTTTATTTTTCGGGTTTCTTTTCTCGGGTTTCAAGCCGTTTCATCCGTACCACTAACCATCCAAATCTTCTGTAGCGGCGGCCATCTTCTTCTCCTTCTCCCATCGTGAGTGTGCTTCACAGGTGTTTTCCTTGATCCATCGTTGACATCCATCGGAGAAAAATCACAGCCCCGGTTGTGAATAGCTGGCACGATTGAGTACAGGTGCTTCTGACAAAAATAAGTCCTTAATGTCTGCAAAAGCTCTCCACTCCTGGTGCCGAATCCATCGACGAATTCCAAGGCCATCAATATCAGCATGTCATTTGATTCGTTCGCCTTGTCGACGGCTCTGAAGCGAATCCTTGTCAAGTAGGACGCCCATGATGACATGTCCTCGGTGATAAAAAGTCCATGGACGTGGACGTTGACAATTGTATTGGTGGGCGCACATTTTCTCGAAGCGTCAAATTGTGACGCCACGGAACTTTTTGACCGAAGTCAGCGAGCTTATGTTATTTTTCAGAAATTAGAGCATTCGCCGTGGTTTCACTTCAACGTGCTATGTTCATTTGATCAACGTTCAATGCGTCACCGTCGTGCCACGTCTGTGAATAGTCCCGAACTTAAAAGCTCAACTAAAGTTGAGTGAGGCATCAAAGAAAAAAAATTGAATGTATGTTTTTCAACTACTTAGATCGGTGCGCAGTGCGAGTGGTCCAAATTGCATTTTTAAATATAATTAATAAATTTTGATGAGATCAGGTCAAAAAGTGCCAATTATTGGTGTGATTTGGCATGGAATGACTCTGTTACGAATCATGTTGGGGCTATGTTTGCGAGGGCTCTTCGCAGTCGGCTTGCTTGTTCTTGGAAAGGAAAAAGGAGAGGCTGCAACACTTGGCCTAATCAGCTTGCCAGTTGACAGGGAGAGGCTGCTTCAATTAAGGGACCAGCATGGGACGCACAAAGCCCAAAGTTGTGCCGCGTCTGGAAGGTTGCAACTGGAAGGGCACGTCTCAACATCACCTAGAGATGATCCATGAACATGAAATTGCATGTTGAAAACAGAAAAAGGCTACAATTCCAAATCAGCTTGCCTGTTGACAGGGAGAGGCTGCTTCAATTAAAGGACCAGCATGCCTGTCAACAGGGAGAGGCTGACTTGGCGCAGAGAGCCTTAAGTCTTCCCGCGTCTGGAGGGTTGCAACTGGAGGAACATGGCTAAACATCGCCTAGAGATGATCCATGCACATGAAATTGCCTTAAAAACAGAAAAGGCTACACTTCCAAACCAGCTTGCCTGTTGACAGGGAGAGGCTGCTTCAATTAAGGGACCAGCATGCCTGTCAACAGGGATTGGCTGACTCGGCGCACGAAGCATGAATATGTTGGTGGGTGCATTCTTCCAGACAATGAAATGTGGCATCGATGAAACTGTGGCGTCAATGAAATTTTGGACAAAGTCAACGAGCTGATGTTCAATTCCAGGAGAAAACGTTCAATTCATCGTGCTGTATTGATTTGATCAACGGTGTGTGCGTCACTAGTCGTCAACCCAGGCGGCTGAAACGTTGGGCCCAGAATTCGGCAGACTAAAATTCGTGGAGCAGTGATATTTTTCAAGGTACGGAGTTGAGATGTACGAAATTTCGGTTTACGAATTGACGGACGCTGAGTGGCGATGCAACCGTATTCCTAGGTTTCTCGTCAAGGGCGTTGCTTGTATCGGCAAAGGAAAAGGAAAAATATCTGTAATGCATTCTTGCAAATTACGATTGCGAATCCAGTATATCAGGCATCGAGAACGAAATCTATGCGTCGTAGATAGCTCAGCGAATATTGAGTACTGAAACATTGTAGTAGAGATAAGAGACTGACTGGGGTGTTGACTCCAGACTTGAGTGCCTCAAGAAATGCATGATCAGCGATTCGACGGAAACGGGAACATTCTCGAGATTAAGTCGGGGACCCAGCAAGTCTCAAGATTTCGAGATTTTGAACAGTCACGCTAAGTACCAACAAAATTTAGTCAGCAAGGACGTTTGGAGCGCCTGCAAAGTCGTACGAATACTTCAAGCATTGCATCATTGACCGCCAAGATGCGCCGATTGCTTATGTGGCGCTTACAATCGAGAAACGCCGTTTACGGAAATGGCATGCTAGGTATTTCAACGGAATATTTTCACCGTTTTGTGAATTTTTCGCCACCTTGATGATTTTCCTCGACAGATTGACTTTAACTTGAATAGAATTTAACTTGATTTAGGGGGGAATTCCGCCAACTGGAGATCAGAATATATCCTTGTAATTTTCATCTAATTTTTTTTAAAACTTGTTTCGTGAGTGTGTGGACGAATCTGATCTTGTGTCCATTATTCCTTCCACGAGTTGGACAACGGAAAATATCTTCTTCGGGATACATTCATTGACTTAATTGAGTCGAGTAGCCTTGTATGGATTAAATTAAACAAATGGATGAAACGAAATACGGTTGAAACTCCCGTGAGCACACGTCAAGAGATGGGAAAAGGGCTGGAAACGTTGCGACGATAGGGATGTTTGGCATGAAACCCATGGACCGAGAAAAAACTATACTTACTCATGTACAATTTACAACACTGCTATGGTAAGGAAAACAGCCGCATGAACATCCGAATATTGCCAAATCTCCCATTCATTTTTTAAGGAAAGTTATCAGTATTTTTCATTGAAACATTCAGAACCAGTAGATTAGGTTACAAATAAAATTCCCTGAGGAATTAGGAGAAAAATATTCACAAATTTCCTTAAAAATTGGTATTTTATCGGAGGAAACTTGGCAACGTCCGAAGGCTCATACGGTGTTATTTTTTTTTAGCAAGGCAGAACAATTAAGCTGCAGACAGCCCCTGCAGACTATAGGCATTTACACACTTCAGTGGTTCAGCGCCACGAGAGGTACGAGAATTCATCTTAAATTTGGAAACAGGAACTACTATTTCTGGCTCGTTTCAGACACAACTTATGTGTCATTAGTTCCCCCATCTAGATAGGTGCATTTGTAAATGACCCAGTGATAATAGTATTTAATATTTGCAGAATGAAGTCAAAGTGGACGACAGTAAACATGGCGATCTATCTCAGTCCATAGGAATGCGAAATTCTCATTACACATCTCGGCTGATCTAAACTTTTTTTTTTTTTTTTTTTTTTCTTAACTGCAATAATCTTTGTGGAGCCTTGCAAACCAACCTTAGAAAAATTGAAATGACAAAGGTCTGAATGCATTTCCGAACAGCGATTTGTCAATTAGGTAAGAGATATCGGTTAAAAGCATTGGGAAATTGTTCTCAAAATTAAATGTTTTTCGACTGACTTTACAAATAACGCTACGGGCAGAACATAGAATTGATCGTCCACAGTGATTTCATTGATTCGTGTGGGATGCATTGAATATCCGTCGACAGCCCCAGACGGATAGGCAAGTGTTACCTTGAGGGAAATTTTGAAGGACCAAAAAATAAAATAAAATATAAGTCGATTAAAAGCTGGAGTAAGTAACCTGCAGTAAGTAATACTGCAAACGGGAAATACTAGGTTACAATTAGAAAGTGCAGTTATCAACCCTTCCTGAATTCGTGAAAGACTGAACATACAACATCCTAAGTAGCACAGTGCAAGGAAATAATGAAATGAAATTGCAATTTGATTTCAATAAAATTGTAATTTTTTACCATTAAATTGCAACATTTTTACATCATTTAGTCGATTTATGCTGATTTTAAACAATCAACAAAATGAGTTCAATGTGTCAGAAAGATAGGCAATATGCAATGCATTGAAAAATTGCAAAAAGTTTCAATAAACGGGGCCCCTTCAAATAGGAGCTAGGCAACATACACAACACTCAGTGGAATTGCAATATTGTTACAATATAATTGCTACTTATGGCAATCTGTGCTACTTGGGATGCATTATTCAATGTACAACATTAACGCATTACTACTTCAAGAATA